TAGAAATGGTTGAGGTAGAGTCAACTTTGTATAAAATAGAACAGTTCAGTCTTGAAACTTGAGCAGTCACGGAAGGGTGATGAACTAGCCTGAGGAATAGGGAAACAAATAATTACGTCACGTAATCAACAGCTGTGTTGACCACTTTTACCATGGTAGGCGTTATGCTCTTATCTAATGTTTAAAGAATTCGATTTTTGGGTTCCTGTCTGTTTGTTGGGTAAACAGTTGTGGACCTCATGCCTCAAGGACAGTTCACTAATGATATAACCCTCCTTCGAAAGAAAAGCAAATAAGTTTTGCCAGCCGTTTTTGCAATTTTCTATTAGTGAGGTCAAAGCAAAATTAACAGCAGAATATACATGACCAAAACAAGAACACTCAAACAACACTAACAAAATGTTATTAAAACGCCGTATTTAGCATCATAAGTCCTGACACAGTTTCTGAACTTCCGTCTGTTCAGCTTGTCATTGCGATTCAGTGACCTAGAGAATCGGCGGTTATTCCATTGAGTTGGAAGTGGTCTGGGCACGTGCTGTGCGGTAAACCCAGTCGTCGGTCGATGAGACCGTTTGAAACTGGCTGCACTGCTTCCGAAAACATATCCAGTTACGTTTACCTTGCTCGGATACTTTGTAACAACTGTAATTGTCAACTCTCAACCTCATTCTGCTTAAAAAGCATAAGTGGACTGTAACCGTTTCCATAGTGAACAGCGCTAACGCACAGTTTATAGTTTGGTGAATCAATAAGCCACAAGACCCAGAGGGAATACTGAACGAACGTCATACATATCTCGAAGTCATGAGAATTAAAGTATACAGAACGGTCCTTCTAAAATTTCAGTAAAACCCACCCAACTTAGGGGACGCAAGAAACGATTTTTTGAACAATGCACAGGAATTTAAGCACTTGGTGTTTCAACCCAGATCATCTCGGCCCGCAACACTTGGCCGTGGTGATTTAACCTGTGTGTATTCTGTGGTGAAATGTGATGCCTAATTTCACAGCATGATTAGGCTGAACAAATATCTCAGTAACTGACAGTATGTGAACGGGCTGTAAAAGTGTCGAAAATCCCCTTGATCACTAGTAGTAGTGTCACAGTCACACAGATGTTTGACATCATGACGTCAGCACAAATCAGTTTTGAACTATTTGTGACCTTCTACCTAACCGCTACAAGTGTGCGAAAACGCTGAATGTAACACCAGCTTTGCTTAAGTTACGTCTTTATTCAAAGGAGTTAATATCGAATTCATTATTCTCGTGTATAACAAACACAAACATTTTGTTCACTCTTTAGTCGCATCACCACTCAAAGTATCCCAGTAGAAATTTTCTTCATGCTTCTTGCTCTTATGAAATTTCATGCGATTTTGAAATAACCCGTTGAAAAGAAGGGTAAAAGTAGGTTTAGGTACTTCGTGTTATCCATTAGCAACAAGACTGAGACTCGAAAACCCGAGTTTACACCATTCACTTCCATAATGATTGAATTCTTTACTACCTTCTCGCTTTAGGATGTCTGCTGGTTAACGTAAAAATATTCTGCATTGTGATCCCAGTCTATCGTCTTCAACCTGACTCCGGAAACACAAACCACTACCCCAACATAGGACAGACCAAGTATGTTACTGTATTTTTCAGCCATCGAGGTGACATTGCAGCGCATCTGCCAAAACGAGGCCTTGACACATTCCAGTGAACAGGCAAACTTGGTGTGTGTGTGTGTCTCGAGTGTACGCATTCATGATCTCAGTTAGGGATGGTCGCAGTGAATGTGAGTGAACAACATGCCTAGAGTGAATAGCCAGGGTACAAATTACTGGGTATCACTCTCACTGCCTAGCACAGTTAGCGATTATCTTTCAGTTCAGACAACTGAATCTGGCAACTGAATCATATGTAGTGTAGACGACTTGAGTGCAGTTGGCTTGCATGCGTCAACATGCAGATATAAGCTAGTGTTCGTCTGATTTTGTAAAACTGCATGGCGCCTTAGATGTCACGGACTTTTGCTGGTTTAATTCTCTAAATTTTTAGATCCGACGAGCAACCTTGATTAGCTTTATGGCTACTTCACTAGCATGACTAAAGACGACGCTTCCCACCTGGTGACGCACAAGGCGTTCTTACCCACAATGATACAAGTGAGATGGTGATCGTTGTGGGCCAGGGGAATTATAAAAAGAACAGCTGAGATCCTTAAAATCAACAGCTAGCACCCGTGTGAACCATGTAGAGGAGCGGCTGAAATCATCATACAGTACTTCTAAAGATCTTGTTGCAACGGTCCATTGATCAAATAAACCAATGTAGAAACCATTTCATTACCTTCAGCTTGCTCGCCTTACTGTATAGTAAAGGAGCTGTTGCTTCTTTATTTCTTGCCAAGATAAGCACTCCCGAATCTGGCAGTGGAAGACCGATGCTATTTTGGCGATAACCTCTGTTACCAACGCGTTTTGTGAAACGAGCGGCATCTTCCACCAATCAGCTGACTAGCTGAGTAACACTTGCAAATAAGTCCCAAACCGAAGTTGGTAAAACAAAAAACTGTGCCTCTCACATATCTGGGTCTGTCCTCGAAACTAGCGCAAAAGGTGTGCATGGAATCAGGTAGGCTTAGTTGATGTGGCCTTACACTGAGTTGATGACTCCGGCCTCGTTCAGACTCAATACTAAATAGGGAGACGGAAGAATATGAGAGGAAACGCAAACCTGATTAATGGGTAGCATGGATTCAGTCGCTTTCAGCCTTCAATTCACGTATATATGATGCTGCTACGAGATTAGGTAGATCCTTATAGTCCAGGAATTCGTTTCATTAAATATTCAGCAGGCAGATTCAGCTCTGATTCCAACAACATAGCTGGTTCTTTGGTGACTTCGTTTAACTAATGTCCTTAAAAATAGAACACGTTGGCTGGTAATGAATGAGAAGTCATGAAAGATTTGACTGTGATTGCCTTACCTTGCCGTCTCGCCTTTCAGATGGCTGAAGGGAGGATAAATGAAAGTAAAGTAGACAAACTGACCCCAGAGGCAAAACTCGACATATATGCGAATTGTTCTCGTCCCCCGAATGCTCCCAAAACTCAGGTGCTTGGGTTTTTCCTCTTTGCTTGAAAATGCTGCAGTATTTTACAGACATCGTTCCGCATGGCCACGCAAGCATTTAATCAAGTCTTTGATATGTTTAGCGTCAGGGTTGGTTCCACGCAACATTCGAAGTTTGAACACAGCTGATATCTCTGAATTGCCAACCATCGAGCGTTCACGTTATTCGAAAAGCTTATTTGTTGACTTTTGATAACTGTCTCGTTTAATGCGCTTCAGTTATGTTGTATCTTATGAAAATGGTGAGCAGAGAGTTAAAATTCTAAAGCCTGCTCAGCTAAACACACAATAAAGAGTTCCATGAAGTCAGTTCTTTGGAGCTGATTTCAACAACTCTAATTTTGTATTCTCTACTCTGACGGAGTTGTAACACCCACAGACTGCACATGCAAAAGATGACAGTCCAGCCGTACTCCTACGACCATTTACTTTACAGCAACCTCGTTTGTTGTTATTTTTAGGGGTGGTCCTTGCAGTAATGTTGACCCCTCACATAAATTAGCGCGCCTTACATCCGGGAATTTTATGCGCTTATGAATTGGATATAGTATTTATGTTGGTCCATGTATATATGAGGTTGCATTTAGACTCAACTGGGTGGGATGTAATTGAGCATTTCAGCCGAACACACTCGTAGTGATACCATTCCAGGGTGTTAACTTCTTATTCTCTCAGAAACCTACGAGTAAGTATTATGACTCAGCATTGTGGGCATTTTGAAATTAAATAGCTCGTGTGGTAGATAATGTAAAACGATGAAATCAAAATGGGAATTTTAGCGCACTTCTGAGCAGCAGTGACCTATCCCGCGCTGTAAACCCAAAATTATTCTTGGCAAAGATTTCTGTGTACAACAGTAGTGACATGCACTGGAAGATGTCGTATTGTATCGTAACTAATTGTACCATCCTCTTTATTATTGTTATTGTTGCTTGCGCAGCACTACTATCCGGTACGACTAGAAATTTGGCTCCAAGTAAAAATACCTCTAATAAAGACCATTCGGACCGTTCCGCGTGCGTTCCTTTTACTTGAATTCACTACTTGATATTCAGAAGGTAAGCCGGAACTTAAACATGTGTGTTGCGATTTTCTCAACACTAAAAATGCATGCGTACGAAATAACAACCCTGTCACCTGCAAGTTGAGTTCGGAGGAGAAGGACGTAATCTGGCGTCAGTAGTGGAAAAGTCTGGCATTGATAGTTGAAAAGTTTCCTTTACTTTAAATGAAAATCTGTAGTCCTGAGTTAGCGCAGGAAAGAAGTAACTAATGAAGGTACCAGTGGTGTCGGTTCCATTGACTTGAGACAGGAGGAGAAAGACCGGTAAACAATCGAAACTAGCGGTGTTAAAAAAATTCTACTACTCCTATAAGTCCGTATAGTATTTCAACTTGATGAGACCAAACCACAATCGGCTTGTCTTATGAAACCTAAAGCCATTTTCCAACATATGACTCCTAATCAAGCTGTGTCACGGTCTGAATCTGCGACTTATTTATTTTTTGGATTGAGAGTGATGAGTGTGTAGCAAAGATACACTAAAGGTAAGCTGCGAGAATTTGTAATTTTTGAATGATGGCAACCCGAAGTATCATTGCTATCTCCTATGTTTATATATAAATCCTATATCTATTATCTAAGAAGACAAAAAGGTAACGAATTCATTGCTGTTCTTAGAAAGAAGCGCGACTATCCTTCCACTTCAGCTGTAAAACATCAACTAAACACACCCTTTCTTTCTTTGTTGTTCTTGTCAGCGTGCTAGTTCGTATTCGCCTTGTTCCGGCAAACACTATTAGTTGAGGTCAGCCGAACAACCACTTACTGCCACTACTCTTTATTGCATCGAACGCAGATCGATGAGTTCACTCGTAATGCAAGCGTAAAAATGCTAGTAATTTTTTTATCGACACGTAGATGAATGGCTCAGCTTCGTATGCCTGGTCCAGGTGGATGAGAGCGCCGTAAAATGTATTTCCAATATAGGAAGACAGCAAAAAAATAACGTGGCTGAGGACAAATGATAGCTGAGCAATCACAGGGTTCAGATCTCAGCCAAAACAAAATACAAAATGCACAAAGTAGAAAGGGAATGTTGCAGACGCTACACGAGAAGGTATTTCTTACCAGTAAAGTCTTGTTGACAGTCTTGTTGATCAGAGAAAACTTCCATTTCAAAGGAACATCTGTTTTCTGGTCTTTTTTGCATAGTACTTGGTGTCTACTGATTAAATACGCTTAACTATACGAAGGACGGAAGAATGCGTCGTGTGAAGCAATTTATCAATAAATAGTGTGAGAAACTAACACGATTGTTTATACGGCGAACCGAGATCTCTCGCTATTTCAAAAAAGTAACAACCAACATACTTGAGTGAAAAAACTGCTTTTGTTTCTGCCGAAACACGGATCCAGCTCATTTGACAACTACCATGTGCAATTACACTGGCAACTCCACATCAAAGGGTAAGCATTTGTTGGAGACCACCAGAAGTGCGTATCCTTGCCCATGCCGGGATTTGAACACCGGACATCCGACATCAGAGGTTACTTGGCTGCCACTGGTACATCGGCTTACGCTGGATATATCTGAATTTTTACGTCCGAACAGGCAATGGTATCTAAAGTTGTGCTTGCGTTTGGTACGTCCAACCTAAAGACTCTTCTAGTTGTGCCAATCGATGTGCTCAGGCGTGAACACATTCCCCTGTCCAGAAGTGAAAATTCATACGTATCCAGCGTGGTGGAATAGTGGTAAATCGCTCGCCTTGACTGAAGGAAGACCGTTCAAACGAGATTGATGTAGACGTTAATTTCACAAATATCACAGCCACTTAGAACTTTCCCAGGTCTTCCGACAGCGTCGAATAACCCTTACTCTCAGCAAATGTGTGTTATGAAGCTAATCAAATGCAGATAAACTTGCTTGGAATAAAATTCAATTTTCCATAATACTGTGGTAGAAGACAAGCACACCAATAGTGAGAAAACCAAACTTGTAGGTCAAATCGGAATATTATTTTGCTTGAAAAACCGAAGTTTACATTCGCTAGTGTACAGTCAGTAATAGGGGTGCCCAACTTTTGGCAATCCTGGTAGATAAAAACTTTGGTAAGTCCGCGTTGGCAGGCTTGTGAACACATTTGTATTGTTCTGAAAAACCGAACTGGAAATTGCACCCCAAGGTATAAATGAATCGCAGTGTACACAGTCTAGACACTGTTCATTCAAATCGCTGATAAGTGACAATTGGTTCTCTTGTATACCTTTTTGTCACTTGACCCATGGACACCCAGAACCGATGCCCGAAAACACGCTTCCGCTGAAAAAAAATAGAAAGTTTCATGGTGTGAGAGAAAGAAACTGCTCGGTTAACAATTCGTTCTCTTGTAGTTCCAAAGTCGTCTTCCTCTGGTGAAGGGGGAATCAGTTTGATCTTGATCGTGTTAAATGGATTCCCCTTTGTATCACCGCACAACAGTGCGTAAGCCGGATTTCATCAAGACTGACACTTAATTCTGGTTACACTCCTCGTGCACATTGTAATTGCGCATGCTGTGTAAGAGATTGCAAAATGCTTCCACTACGATGAAAGGTCCAATTTATTAGTTGTATTTAATAGGTAGGACACCAACATCTGCTCTACTTTGGAGCTGAGCTCGATCAGCTGCATAGTCCTCCTCAAGGAGTATCACTTGTTTACGGAATAGCTGCTGACATGGAGCGATAAGCCCCTTGGTTAAATTAAGAAAATTTAATTTTGGCAGAAAAATATATGTGAAATATGAAATTTTCTGTTCTAAGAAAATTATTGTTTTGGCAGAATGTAATCTGTGTCCGTATAAGCTTGCGCAGAACATATTAGTTAATTATTTAATGAATGGTTAAGAAGAAAGACAACGTCTGGCTCTAATGTTTTCCAGATATTCAAGCGGATCCAGTCATCTTCAGATATAGGTTACCAATGCGTTCTCTGTAAAACTGGTATCAGAAAGACGAATTACTTTCAACAACCTGCGCTGGGGCGACTTGACCACCCCATATATCCAGCACATGTATTGATACATATTTGAATGATAAGTGGCTGGGACTAACCTCAATGTATGCTTGATGTTGTACAGTCCTGTTTATTGCTAAGTCCATACCGGCTGATTCCAATCAGCTTTGAATTCTCTAAAATCCTAGTGATAACATTCGAAATGAACAACTGGAAGATGTTTGACATTCAGTCCCTCACTTATCTAATGGTCGTATTTACTCATAAATTATTAGTGACTGATCGGCTGGCTGCTGATCTTTTCGCTCGGCTTGATAACTGACTTGCAAAAGTTTTATTTAAATCCAAAGAAGCATACTCAGTGCGCAGCTGAAAGTAAGCCACCATGCTCGGTTAACGGATCAACAACCATCCGATCAAAAATAAGTGAATATATTCGAGCTGTTCCATCATACGTAATTCTTATACGCTCCTCATTTCAGAGTCGTTCATTTGTTGTCCGTTTTGATGCTGTGGGTTGTGCTTCACTACGAGGAACCTGGAAGCAGTTCCGTGGAACCAACTGAAGATTGTCGAAGCTAATCGCTTTGAATCAACCCGGAGTCAGCCTTAAATAATATCCGACAGTAGGGGCGCTATTGTATGTTCAGTGAATATAAATTCTCAACGGGATATGGTGAACTAACTTTGTGACTGCTCCAATTCACTTCACTTTTTCATATACTGCACTCCATCGGATAAACCTAAAATAACTAGGCTAGTTATTTTTGTTGCTAATCCCTAGCATTCGGCAACATTCGTAAGGCAATTTGATCAGTTATGTACGATTAAAAAAAGTAACCATATTAAATAACTAGACAAGAGAAGTTAATGTATTCTACAAAATCAAATATTTTGCGCAAAGCTACACTTACGTTGCAAATCAAAATTATTACGACAACAAACGTCGCACCAGTCAATGCCAGCGTGACAGATATGATGACAGTATAGTTGACCGAATATCCATAGTTTTCTGGTAGAGGGATAAAGAATGTGAGATATCAAACAGTGAAGCAGATAAAAAATGAAATGCTTATTTCGTTGCATGAGCAATTTTTGCCCTCGGACAGGTCTTTTGTAATGCTTCAGAATATGGCAAACTTATTAGGTCATTGATAATTCCTTATTCAGCGTCGATGCCCAAACAAAATCACCAAAAAATGTCTACAGGTTTGGCTCACTTGTTCTATCGATGATCGATGTGCACTAATGGACTCCCTCTTTCGGTTTTGTTTGGTGACGAGTAACCTAAGTTTGAGGGAGGTAGTAACAAGCATGTCGCAGGACATTGGATAAATAACGTGTCCGGAAACTAGTTCAGTGCTGAAACATACCCGGAGGGACACAGTTTGGGGTGGCTGAATTAATTACATTATACAATGGTTGGTAATGAGCTTGTATGCATTAGCCTACAGCTTATATTCTTTCGGATCTATCTTTACATCAATAGGCAGCAGGTAGCAACACATTCAGATCCGCGCTGGCTACTTATGGTTTGCCAAATGCACATAATCGACCAGTGTTTCAAGTATTGATCAAATGCAGATCCGCTACAGATATTAGACTATCTTTTGGATCTGGGAGTATTACAATTTCAAAATCTTGACATATCTATGAGTTAAAACGCACCATGCACTATTTCTGATGGGTCTTCTGCGTTTTCTTTGTTCGTTTCATCTGAAGGATCACTGCTCCTGTTGCTTGAAGCCTGGTTAGCGGTCGTGATTTCGGTCTGATTCGTCATCCGCTGTCGGTCTGTCTGTGGAGATGGCTGTTCCTTGTGACCGAAGTCCGGCTGTCTCTCGGTAGTATTTTGATGAATTCCCACTGGAGATAAATAACACCAGAATGTAGAGCCTTGTCTACAGTGTACGGGTCTAAATTTCAATTGCAGTTCATTGTAAAAAGATTGCAAGGGCTCCCCAGCTGTTCCATCGATCAGATAAGCTTGCGAAAACTCTGATAACTTATTGGGTGATCTTCAAAATCTGATTGTGGTACACTGATAGCATGTGATAGAGGGACAAGTAAAATTTACTTCACTAAAAGATGAAATCTTTGTTTGGATTGAGATTTTTAGGGTAAGCCGGGAAAATACCCTGGCTGTATCTGAAAGCCGAAAAAACATCATTGGATTACATTAGTTGCACCAACAGTCGCAAGCCATCTAGGTGAACATTGGTTAAAATCAGGTCGATACCGACAGGATCGGTATCCTGTAGCCTTTTGTAAACCGTATACCCTGAGCATTCTCAACGGGTGCAAATATGCTAACTCTATCACTAGGCTTAACCGCATTCCAAGTGACACATGAGAGTTCAATTGAGGGTTAATTACGACTGAAATGCTCAACTCTGTTGGTAATGGTTCATCTGGTTCATTTGCATTACTCTGTGTCAGCAGCCACCACTAAACTGTCCCCTATTATTTCAGTGTTTCAAAGCTTGACTGATCACAAAAGCTATGAGGTTTTGTCTAATACTCAGTGAATTTTTCGCAGTCCTGTTTGTCAGGCCTCGACAAACACTGCATTGTCGATTTTACAGACCTGTGAGCTGTGTTTGTGTCAAGGCAAACGTACACAGTGAAATCTTCACAAAGTGACAGGTGTGAACCCGGCTTTTTATCCAACCATCGCTCGCCCCGACTGACACACACAGGGCAACGGGACATAGAAAATCCGTCTCGCAATACCGTGAGGTGCCTGCATAATGCGACTCATTTTCGTAGGTGGTTTCCCACATTATAAAGTACGGTCTAAGATACGTTAATTCTGTGTCATTCCGACCAACTCTTCCAGGTGGCTACGCCTAACATAGCCTAGCTCAGTGGTTGATTAAGATCCCAGAAAATGTCAAATTCAAGATGGCCAGTTTCAGTCTTCGTGACACATTTAAGCAATCCAACGCATATGGGACACCAATGTGAAAGTTAACGTTAAGTCATTGTTATTCACGAATGTTTTTGTTGATGGGGCAAATGCCGTCATTTATGATTCTGTTAGAGACAACAGCCTATGAAGAGAACTTTGCTAGACAATTTATGTAGTTCTGAAGGCTCAAATTTGTTCTTCGTGGTACTCATCACTGACAAAGGATGGGGTGATCTTGGAAACATATTCATGAGCTATGTAAACCTGTGAGTGTCGCCGGAAATCCAGAAGTTGGTGGTCTACAAACCTATCATGGAAGACGTTCTTTCGAAATGTTCAAATGGTGATTTCAATTAATAGTAACGATCGCATGCTTTAAAAAATGAATGTAGGTAATTATCAAAAAAGGAATATAACTTTGCTGCATGTCATCCTAGTCAGACGATTGGGAAGACAACAGAAATTTTTGCTTAAAATTCCATCGTTGCCTGGATGATAAATCCACTCCAAAAACTAGTGCTCGTTAGCCACATGCGGACCGTTTGACAGATAATTTGAAGTCGTCAGAGATGACCAGTCGGATCAAGAGCTAAGTTCCTTGAAGGATACGCTGTTCAGTAAATACTCAAACCGCACGGAGACGAACGTACAACACTGCTGACGCAAATACCAACGCCACGACAGTAGGGCCAAGTGCCCTTACACGCCACATCAAAAGTACTGCAGTTTGTATGATTCTACGGTTAAATGACATGGTAATAGGACAGACGAATAAGTAAGCGAAATCCGCAGTGACTACACAGATATGGTTGTTGTCACATCCTTGATAAACTAGAGATTTTGTACAATATTTTCATTCTCAAGTGTACGCGCATGCTTTTGGTTGCCAAAGATTTTACTGACAACATAATCATCCGTCCTGAAGGTATGTCGAAAAAACTGGCACGTAAAGTTGAGCAGGTTTTTAATCTGGATTTGCGGTCTTTTACTTATTGTTTTATATGATTACTTATGTTTTTACGAAACTATCCCGGGTTTTTTCTTGAAAAGTATATCATCTCGAAAATGAAACTGATGCATATAACGACCCACAGATGGTAATGTCTTGGGAAAATTTATTTCCAAAATTGGTACGACTGATTGCACAATACCATGAACTGTCTCTCGATACCATGCAAAATTTCAAATAATGCTTTTAAAACTAGTAATATAACTTTCGAACAAGCCAAAACCAAAGAGATAACAAAAATGTCAACACAAAATTAGAAATGAATTTATTGCTGTGGGAGTCCAACAATTCAGAAAAAAACATTAAGAATACTGAATCACACAAAAAGAGAACAACGCACTTACAATTAAAAAAAAAGAATTAAAATGTCACACAAAACGTCTAAAAATTACGGACAAAATAGTCCACCGAAAAAGACAAGAGATAAGAGGCAAAGCAAAACGAAAGAGAAAAACACGAAAGTAAAAGAGGATGAAAATGGAACAAGAATTGCAACAGAATATTGCAAAGGAAAGAGGAAAATAAAAAATGACCTGAGAAGAAGGAACAAGGAAAGAACCGGGAGAATCAAACTAAAAAAAGGAAAAAGAAGTCACAGAAACAACCGAGGATTTTGAATAGAAAAACACCGAACAAAACAAAATAAGATTGCAAAACAGCACACAAAAATGCGAGAAAAGCAACAAAGAAAGAAAGGAAGAAATATCCCATTGAAAAACAAAAGCTCATACGCAGAAAAATTATGAAAACATGCCTACTCTGGCCGGTA